TCCGAAGTCGGCACTCGCGTCGCCACGCCACCCGCGCGAGGGGCCCAACTGTCGCTGACAAACACGGTGCGCTGAGGGCGAGCCGCTGGAGAGTCTCATTCATCGCCTCCTGCTCGCCGTGCACCCCTTGGACCGCCACGACGGCCTCTGCCGTAGATAGCTGGCACAAGTGCTGAAGGCGCATGCACAGCTTGTTGGCATCGAAGCGCAGCAGCGAGGAGGCATTCCCTGATGCGAAGCGGAGGCGTTGTCCCCCGAAGAGCCCGTTACCCACACCACGTGACTTCTATATCGCAGAACACCCGCCTGGCAGGCCCACGCGCACGCTCGCGGGCCTGGTTCGCACCCGCGAGGGCGGCGACGTTCCACTCAACCTTCGGGACGCGAGAGCCTGCAACAACCGAAAATTTGGCGAAAGGCTCCCATTTTGCCAACAACTGCCCAGTGTCACGATCAGCGAAAGCATGGAGACCACAGTCATCCAATACTGCTCTGCGTCGCTTCTTGGGCGCCGTCGCCGCAGCCACCTCCTTCCTGTTCTTGTCAACAAAGATATAGGCGGGAATGGTAACAGGACCCACCGATGCAGCGAAAGATCTCCACTTGCCAACACCAGTACGCAGTTGAAGCCGCGCTTGGCGCCTCCGACTCTCCGGGCCACGGGCATCGGGCCGAGGAAGGAGAGGACGGACTGCTTCGAGATGTCATCGCCCACGATCTCGGTGTGCTCACCCAGCTTGAGGTTGGCGGCACCCAGCCAATATTGCAGGGCGTCCGCCACTGAGGCCTTAAGCAGCGCGCTGGCACCACGCATATGGAGAATAGTAGAGGTCAGCCGGGCGATCCATGTCACCAGAGGTGATGGGCGCATCTCTGGGACGGGCTCTCGCAAGGTCCAACTCTTTCTCCAAGTGACACAAGCGATGATTGAGCTCGGCGAATTGATCAGATACAGAGGTGGTTCGCTCATCATGGCGGGCCATGTCATCACGGACCCTGCAAATCTGCCCATCGAACATATCATGTTTACAAGTGAGCGGCACGGTGGCTTGCTCCAACGAATCAAGGAGACGTGCGCACAACGCTGCCATAGCCGTCTGCGTGAACTCATCGACGGTCGCCTTCTTGAAGCCCGCGAAATTCTGACCGCCCAATTGAGCCGCCTGCGCCCATGGGTCAGGGACACCACCTCTAGGAGGGCCGCTTGCCGCTGCCCATGGGCGCTGCGGTGGCGGGGGGGGCCATGGCGTAGGCGCGGTAATCGTTGGAGCTGCACCACATGCTGTGGTAGTTCCAGCCTCCTGGTTGGCGTTGAAATCAGGCAACTCCTCAAGGTCAATCGCGGCAGCCTGGCCCTCTGGTGTGGCGATGCCGTAGTGTGCTGCATCATGGGCACCACGATGTCCTTCGCTGCGCGACCTGCGGGAACCCCCAGAACCATCATGAGAAACTTATTGGGAGGGGAAGGTGGGGGCCTCGTCCAGATCTCGCAACGCACGTTCGATAGCAGCTCAGCGGGGAGTATCATTTCCCATTGGGCCACCATCGTCAGATCCACGGGCACCAGTGTCGCAGTCGCGCTCTGTGCGCCTCCCATGCATCTTGTCGTGCCCCCTGCAGACGGGAGTAGCAAATACACCAGAACCAGAAGAGCGAGCCGACCTGCGAGACGAAAGAGACTCAGAGCGCTCTTTCCGTTTGTCCCTCCTCTCCTTCTTCTCCTTCTTATTCTTCGTGTGATTGCGGGGAGTGTTGGCATCATGGGCACGCGGGAGCCCCATCCACACAGCCCCAAGCCAGGAACTGGAAAGGCCTCAGTTTACCCGACCTGGGCTGCGCGCGAAGGTCGGAAAAGGTAGTCATTTGGCCCCAGCAGCACGGAGTTCGACTGAGGTTGCCTGAATCGGGAGCTGGCCTCGGACTAGAGGTATCCACTTCCTGCCCAAGGGACACAAACATCTTGAGCCAAAGTGGCTTCAGCCAAAGTGGTTACGGAAGGGAGGGAGGAGGAGGAGGAGGAGGAGGAGGAGGAGGAGGGCAAGGACGAACGAGAAGGGAGAGGGGAGAAGGGACAGGCTAGGTGCGCTCGAGCCGCATCTGACATCCGATCCCTCCCTCCCATCCCATCCCTCGTGTCATAGCCGACCTGGAGCTCCAAAAAAAGCCCATGGTGTCATGCGCAATTAGAGAAGGGGAGCCGCGTACATGGAAGGAGGAGGAGGAGGAGGAGGAGGAAGAGGAGGGGGTGGCGGTAGGAAACCAAAAAATGTGAACATCCTGCGTGTGAAAAACACGCGGAGAGGGCGGGACGTGTTCCGCACAGAGCCAGGGGAGAGAGGAGAATGGTAGCCATAATGTATTATTGTGGAGTGGGGAAGGAGGCAGGCGCGAAAGGGCATGAGGGAGGAGGGAGGCAGGGATGAGAGTCTGAGAGAGGGGAAACCCCCTTCCGCATGGATCGCTCGGCCCCTCCGCCGGTGGACTCTCGCAGACCCTGGCGTCGGCACGTGGCCCTGAGATCCGACGCCGCGACACAAGCAAAACACGGAAATTAAGCACGACCGACTCCCTGGACCCCATCTTTCTGCAGCATGTCTCGGGCTGGGTTGGTCTGTGGGGGCCCGAAAACCCCAAAACCAGGCACGGACGCCCGGCGTGAGCGAGAGAGCGAGCTTCGGGCGCCCTGCCCCGCGTGCCCGAGCAGTCGGCGAGGGGCTCCCGATGCCCGCGCGGCGGAGGGGGGTCCTCCGACGGGGCCCAGAGGGGGCTCGAGGCATACAGCCGTCGTGCTACCAAAAGGAACGCCGAACAAGGAATGAGGGGTCCGTTCTGGTCACGGCGAGCCTCGGCCACGACCGGGTCCCCCGACCCAGGCTCCAAGGAACGGCCCGCACCCCGAGGGCCCCTCGCAGGCCCAGCGGTCCCCGTGTCAGCGCCGTGGCTGTGCACCGAGTCGTTGCCGGGCCTCGCCCGCACTGCGGCTGCTGGCCCCGCCCGGGGGTGCGCCGTGGTGCCGCCCCGCGCCGCTGCAAGGGGCTGCCCTTCAGCCTGGCCGCCCCGCGCGTTCCCCGCGGCTCGCCGCGCCAGTGCCCCCGCGTCCCTTCCCCTCCCTCCGCCGCCGCCCTCGCTCACCCTTTCTTCCACTCTTGCATGCGGGCCAATGCGCGACTCCGTGGCCCGGTGATGCTACTCGCGCGAGCGGATTGCCTCTTGCTCGCCGCGACGGAAAAAGTGCACCAAGTCGTCTGGACGGCCAACCCCCCCAAGACGGGCGTCGCAAACAATACAGAGGCGGCCAGCTCTTCGCTTGAGCGGACCTGAGGCGGAGGAGAAGGAGAAGGAGAAGGAGGATGGCATAAGAAGGGGAGGAGGAGGAGGAGGAGGAGGAGGAGGAGGAGGAGGAGGAGGAGGAGGAGGAGGAGGAGGAGGAGGAGGAGGAGGAGGAGGAGGAGGAGGAGGAGGAGGAGGAGGGGAGGAGGAGGAGGAGGAGGAGGCGGAGGAGGAGGGGGAAGAGGAGGAGGAGGAGGAGGAGGAGGAGGAGGAGGAGGAGACGAGGAGGAGGAGGAGGAGGAGGAGGCGGAGGAGGAGGAGGAGGAGGAGAAGGAGGAGGAGGAGGAGGAGGAGGAGAAGGAGGGGGAGCAGGAGGAGGAGGAGGAGGAGGAGGAGGAGGAGGAGGAGGAGGAGGGGAGGAGGAGGAGGAGAGGAGGCGGAGGAGGAGGAGGAGGAGGAAGGAGGAGGAGGAGGAGGAGGAGGAGGAGGGAGGAGGAGGAGGAGGAGGAGGAGGAGGAGGAGGGAGGAGGAGGAGGAGGAGGAGGGAGGAGGAGGAGGAGGAGGAGGAGAGGAGGAGGAGGAGGAGGAGGAGGAGAGGGGAGAGGAGGAGGAGGAGGAGGAGGAGAGGAGAGGAAGGAGGAGGGGAAGAGGAGGAGGAGGAGGAGGAGGAGGAGGAGGAGGAGGAGGAGGAGGATGAGGAGGAGGAGGGGGAGGAGGATGGAGAAGGAGGATGGAGGAGGAGGACGGAGGAGGATGGAGGAGGAGGAGGAGGGGGAGGAGGAGGAGGAGGACATGTGTACCAGCGGACGCCCCCCTGCTTCCACGAACTGGAACTGCCGTCGCCCGAAGAAGCACCGGCTACGGCAGACCTGGCTTAGTGGTTCCAGCCCATTTGGGGGGCCTCAAGGCCCAATCACCAATCGGCCCCTCTGACCCGGGAGTCCTGGCTAGATCCGAGAGGGGAGAAGGAAGGAGCACGGCGCACGGGCGCCCCGGCTCCCGAAGCCGACGGGGTGCCAGCGCGCCGGTGCCCCGACACCCCTCCACCGAGCCCCTCGGCATCCTGGCCGACCAGGCGGCTTGGCGTATACTTGAGTCGGGCGTGTCCCCCTACAAGGGGATTTTGGGCGAAAAATGAAAAATACTCGGAAAAATACCCCCAAAATATTCAAAAATAGTCCAAAAATCGTCCCCTCCTGCAGAGGGACATGCCCGACTTACGCGTATACGTCGAGCCCCTTCAGGCGGGGGGGTCGGGTGCTGCCAACAGGTCCCTGGCCCAGGGTGCCCCCCAGAGGTCCTCCCGCACCGGCCGCGCACCGAGAGACTCGGTGCCCGAGAGGCCGCCCGCGCTCCCCGCTCCCGCCGGCTCTCGGCGGTGGGTTTTCGCCCCGAGGGGCTCTCCAGAAAAATCTACTCGGCTCTGGCTGAAGCAGGAGGAGGAGGAGGAGGAGGAGGAGGAGGAGGAGGAGGAGGAGGAGGAGGAGTGTGGGGGGTGGGGGGGAGGGGGGGGCGAGGCGAGGCGACTCCCAGTTCGCCCAGACGGGCGGCCGCGCGCGAGGGGCTGGGAGGCGGCGCCGGTCGCTCCTTCGGTCAACGGGCACGGGTGCGCTGTTCAGGTGCGCACGTGATCATCTTCAAGGTCTCTGCGGGGGGGAGGGGGAGGGGGAGGGGGAAGGTGGCTAAGCTCCGCCCCAGACCGAGCGCTGGGCTGTGTGCAGCGGCGGCGCCTGATCCCCGCCGGCGGCCCAGTCGACGGGCAGAGGGCAGCTGCTGGCGGCGCGCAGGAGGGGAGGGGCGGCCCTCCCCGACCCTGGACCGTCGACCGAGAAGCGGTGCGGAGGTCCCTGGGGTCCTGAACCCTCGTCCACCTCCTCCTCCTCCTCCTCCTCCTCCTCCTCCTCCTCCCTCCTCCTCCTCCTCCTCCTCCTCTCCTCCTCCTCCTCCTCCTCCTCTCCTCCTCCTCCCCCCCCCCTCCCCCCCCCCTCCCCCTCCCCCCCCCTCCCCTCCTCCCCCTCCCCCTCCCCCTTCTCCTCCCCCTCCTCCTCTTCCTCATCTTCCTCCTCCCCCTCCTCCTCCACTTCCTCCTTCTCCTCGAAGGGAAAAACACGATGACCATGACCAAGATGTCGCCGGATCTTGTCGAAGCCGATCGTGGTCACGGACCGTGCCGTCCGTCACCGATTCGCGGGGATGATCCACGAATTGACGATAATCAAGAGGGACGATGACCAAGATCGACACCGACGTTTCAGCGCTCAGTCTTGGTCATGAACCTCAAGTTCTTTCCCTCCAGGACCCCGTCCCTTCTCACCGGCTTCCAAGCGGCTCTCCCGCTCGGCCCAAATGCGCTCAACCTTGGCGACGAGATGCCTCCAGGAGGCCTAAAAAAGGACGAAAACCGCCAGCCTTGAAATCCGAGTGCGCGAAAAACAAACATCGTGAAGAATCACGACCCTGAGCCCTGTAGACCAACATTCTCTGCGGCAGTTCTCGAGCCAGATCGATCTCTGAGGGCCCCGAAGCCAGAAGCCAAGCAAAAACGCCCGGCGGGGGAGAGAAACAAAAAAAACAGGGGTGGCCGCCGCCCACTCGACTGGCTCTCTCCCGAGACGGGTGAGCTTTCGCGGGAGCCTCTGTGGAACTCCGCGGCCCTATCATAAACGTGATTTCGGCAGGACTTCGTCCAGATCTCGACCGCCCCTCTTCACCCTTTCGTAGAGAGTTCGCCCAGACATCGCCCAGTCGCCCAAATCTGGCGGAATCTACACGAAATTCCCACATCCGCACAGAAACCTGGGGAACCCTGGGGCTCCCGTGAAGGAGCACAAACAGGAGGGCATCCTGGCCCACCACACACAACGGGTGAAGCGCGCCCTCCCAGAGGCCCCGCCCCCCTACGGCCCCCATCTGGAAGCCATTGGAGTCCCGAAACGGTGCGGTGACGGACCGTGCGGTGACCTCGAAATCCCGCAAGACCTCACAGCATGGTCCGTCTCCGCACGGTCTTCGGACCCCGGAGGTCCCTGTCGCCCGAGACGTCCTCGGAGAACGACCCGAGTCCCAAAACCGTGCGGTGACCCCGAATCCCCACCGACTCACCGCACGGTGTGGTCACCACCCCGTTTGGGGACCCCGCCCCCCGCACACTCAGGGCCCGCCTGGCAGCCCCGCCCCCCGCCTGCCCCCGCCCCCCCCGCTCGTGCGGGGCCACCCTGGCTGGGCAGCGCGGCAGGCCCTGCGGGCTCCGCGCCGTCGCCCTCGGAGGACGACGACGACGACGACGACGACGACGACGACGACGACGGCAAGGACGACGACGACGATGACGACGACAACAACGACGGCGAAAACGGCAACGGCGGCGACGACGACGACGACGACGACGACGACGACGACGACGACGGCGACGACGGCGACGGCTCCAGAGCGACGGCGACGACAACGACGGCGACGACAACGACGGCGACGACGATGGCGGAGACGGCGACGACGACGGCGACGACGGCGGCGACGGCGACGACGGCGGCGACGGCGGCAACGACGACGACGATGACGACGATGACAACGACGACGACGACGACGACGACGACGACGACGACGACGACGACGACGACGACGACGACGACAACAACACAACACACACACACACACACACACACGACGACGACGACGACGACGACGACGACGACGACGACGACGACGGCAACGGCAGCGGCGGCGGCGACGGCGGCAACGACGACGACGACGGCGACGACAACGACGAGGACGACGGCGACGGCATCGGCGGCGGCATCGGCGGCGGCAACGACAACGATGGCGACAAGAACGACGGCGACGGCGACGGCCGGGACGGCGACGACGACGACGACAACTACGACGACGACGACAACGACGACAACAACGACGGCGACAACAAAACAACAACAACGACAACGACAACAACGACAGCAACGGCGACGGCGACGACGACGACGACGACGACGGCGACGGCGACGACGACGACAACGGCGACGGTCCCAGAGCGACGGCGACGGCGACGGCGGCGGCGACGACAATGACGGCGACGAGAACGACGGCGACGACGATGGCGTAGACGGCGACGACGACGGCGACGACGACGGCGACGACGACGACAACGGCGAGGACGGCAACAACGACTACGAAGGCGGCAACAGCGGCGGCGACGACGACGACGACGACGATGACGACGATGACGACGATGACGACGACGACGACGGTGACGGTGACGGCTCCAGAGCGACGGCGACGGCAACGGCGGCGGCGACGACAACGACGGCAACGAGAACGACGGCGACGACGATGGCGGAGACGGCGACGACGACGGCGACGGCGACGACCGCGGCGACGGCGGCAACGACGACGACGACGACAACAACAATGACGACGATGACGACGACGACGACGACGACGACGACGACGACGACGACGACGACGACGACGGCAACGGCGGCGGCGGCAGCGACGGCGGCGACGACGACGACGGCGACGACCACGACGACGACGTCGACGGCATCGGCGGCGGCATCGGCGGCGGCGACGACAACGACGGCGACGAGAACGACGGCGACGACGACGCCGGGGATGGCGACGACGACGACGACGACGACGACGACGACGACAACTACGACGGCGACGGCGACGACGGCGACGACGGCAACAACGACGACGAAGACGGCAACGGCGACGGCGACGGCGACGACGACGACGACGACGGCGACGACGACGACGACGACGGCGACGACGACGACGACAGCTCCAGAGCGACGGCGGCGGCAACGGCCGCGGCGGCGACATCGAAAGTGACGAGAACGACGGCGACGTCGATGGCGGAGACGGCGACGACGACGACGACGACGACGACGACGACGACGACAACGGCGACGACGACGGCGGCGACGGCGGCAACGACAACGACGACGACGACGATGACAACAACAATGACGACGACGACGGCGGCAACGGCGGCGGTGACTGCGACGACGGCGACGACGGCGACGACAACGACGATGACGACGACGACGACGACGACGACGGCGACGACGACGGCGACGGCATCGGCAACGGCGACGCCAACGACGTCGACGACGATGACGACGGCGACGACGACGGCGGAGACGGCGACGACAACGGCAACGACGACGACAACTACGACGACGACGACGACGAGACGAGACGAGACGACGACGAAAGCGGCAACCGCGGCAACGACGACGACGACGACGACGACGACGAC